CTTGAGGGCATGTCGTGCCCAGACGGCGCGAGGTTCCTGTGATATTAACATTGTTTACTACATGTAACCTCGTTTAAAATGTGGTTAAGAGTTTTATAGTTACTAAATAAACGCCACATGCAGAATTGTTGCTGGTCTCATTAACGACTTTTGGATTGCAGAATAATGTTTCTTCCTGTTTCCTAGCAAATATAATCATACCCATGCATTTCACTCCAGAAATTCGCCATACTCCTGAGATCAATAGGAGGTCCCCCCATTAAACAAAGCCACCAGCCCGCGATTATTGATTAACTAGTACTTTAGACTTCACTAATTCTTTCCTTTTCCCGAGTGTAAATAGCCGAGCGGAATTAGTAACCTCGTCCAGGGTTTATGCCCGGAACGACGCTTCGCGTTTACTCAGAGATTAAAACAATTATTGAAATCGGATTTCTCATAACACAAACTTCAGTGTTGATAATTCTTCAAACCATGCTCAACCTCATTTAATATAAATAATAGTTCAATCTTGTTCCCTGGGTATTTTGCCTCCACCGCTGAAGGTCGGCGAAAATGGCTCTGGGAACGGCTGATCAACTCTACAAAACCCACTACTCTGTTCAAAGACGCATTAATTCCAAGTTTGCAGTATAATTTATTCAAACAATTCTGGTGCTCTAAATTTTTTTGTCGTCGAATTATACGGCAAAATATAGTCAAGATTCACTTACGTCCTATACTTGCCATGCTATGTTAATTATCGTCAGGCTCATGGATATAAGAAGAATTACATATTCAAGCATACTGTTCTTGAAATAACGTCTTTGGGTGAAAAATTTGGCAAATGGTTAATTACCCTATATTTATTATTCGTAATCAAACAACGAAGATTAATTTCCGATAAATTTCCAGCATGAGCTCCACCTTTGAATTTACTATATGAATAACAATGGCAGAAATTCACTTTTTCCGGGGGAGGGCAAAGCCGCCTAAATTTCCGACTACACTTTCAAATGTTTGACACCTCCCCCCCCCCATTTGCACTCGAAAAGGCTGTCTTTAGCCATCTTTTAGGTCAAAATTTCCGAAAATTTCTCATTTTCCGTTAAGATAAGGGGGGGGGGCGGTCGCCCCCCCCCCCGCCCCACCAAGATTCCTGCCACTGATGAGTAAATTGTTAAACACGTCCGAATTTATCAAGATGATAAATTCGCGGCACCTAACCCCTAACACTAACCCCTAACCTTAACCGCAACCCTAACCCCCCACACTAATCTAACTTTTTTAAACTTTTTTTAACTTTTCAGTAAATTTTTTAAACTTTTTTATTCTTTTTTTGACGATGTGAAATTATAGTATCATGAAAACATCCAGAAGTTCTGAGTGTCATGTGACCAGTTGATACTAGGGCCACTTTTACCGGCCTTCAGCCGTGGAGGCAAAAAGCCGTGGAGGCAAAAAGCCGTGGAGGCGAGGTCGATAATTGCTAAATTTCAGACCTTGGTCAATGTTATCCCCCTTGAGATTGTCCCCGGCCTGAACAATTCTTGATATCACTATTATAATATCATAGTTGCCTCGAAATCCTTTGTCTCGCGAGGTACGATTACCAACTACTTTACCTCATTACCCATGCATACGCTTTGTCTTCTAAATTTACCCGGTAAATTTAGTTGAAAACAAAGGATTTCTTTGTCTTCTAATCTTCCCCTGCATGCTTGATGAAGGAAATTTAGAAGACAAAAGCGTACCTCATTACCTCTGATTGGAGAGCTGTACCTCATCGAAAATCATCGGCACAACTATGGACAGTATCTGACGACACCGTCCTGTACACATTCGAACAATCACTTTGCCAGCTTTTATTCCCTAATCTTGAACATTACAATTGTGGGAGAAAATTCCGTTTATGCGCATGCCTAAAACGAATGAACACGGAGATGTGTTTCTGCGCGTGCGTATATATGAAAAGTGTGCGTACCACAATCATAAGACAATCAAACAGCATTCAAAACAGGCAACACACCACGCGCGATTCCCTCGGCAACTATGATATTACAAAGTAATAGCATGGCATTACGGTCGATTAGTGATGAAATGTCCCTCAAGCCTCGAGAGGTTTAGTAAAAGTTACTAAACCTAGTTACTAAACCTCTCTCGGCTTTCGTTAGTTACTAAACCTCTCTCGGCTTTCGGGTACATTTAATCACTAATCGCCCTGAATGCCATGCTATTACTTATAATAATATAAGGTATGTCATGCATGTGTAAAGTGTTGTATGCGTATGTATGACGTGTAATCCCCGCCAATATTAAGTGACTAACTTCTGTTTAGTAAAATCAAATTGTGAAACACCAAATTGTGTACTTTGTCAAATTGTGAAACACCAAATTGTGTACATTGTCAAATTGTGAAACACCAAATTGTGTATATTGTCAAATTGTGAAACACCAAATTGTGTACATTGTCAAATTGTGAAACACCAAATTGTGTACATTGTCAAATTGTGAAACACCAAATTGTGTACATTGTCAAATTGTGTACATTGTCAAATTGTGAAACACCAAATTGTGTACATTGTCAAATTGTGTTTACACTGTCAAATTGTGAAACACCAAATTGTTTACATTGTCAAATTGTGTACTTTGTCCAATTGTGAAACACCTAATTGTGAAACATTATCAAATTGTGAAACATTATCAAATTGTGAAACATTATCAAATTGTGAAACATCAAATTGTGAAATATCAAATTGTGAAACACCAAATTGTTAAACACCAAATTGTGAAATATCAAATTGTGAAACATCAAAATGATCAAATCCTGGAACCTGGTCCCAGTCCTAATCATATATGGCCGAGTTTGCATATTAAATTGCCATTATTTATTTCCCGCGGAAAGTAACTTATTTCAAACCTTTTCCAAAATGGCTGACACTCCTGACACTTCGACTGTTCGACACCGGATTTCACAGCTGTTGTATCTCTGTTACGTCAAGCAGAATCTATGCTATCAAGTAATACTAACCGTGGTAATACTAATCTTAGACTTAGTCCAGCTTCTACAATGGATACAATTAGTCCTGCTTCTACATCTACAACGATACCGGACTAGACAGTTGTATAGCCAGTCTAAACGGTATGACTGAAACGCTGTCTAAATTATTTGTTCCACCAGAGCTGTTTTCGAGCTGTATTATAATATTTAACAACGTATGCCTTATGAAGCCAACCATTTCTTGTTCCGCCATTTTGTATTACAGTAAAGAGTAAAAAACATTTTCCCGCGGGAAATAAATCAGAATAATTTTTCCAAATTATATACGCAAACTCGGCCATAATATTAGGACTGGGTTCCACAATTTGATGCTTCACAATTTGATGTTTCACAATTTGGTATTTCACAATTTGATGTTTCATAATTTGATGTTTCACAATTTGAAGTTTCACAATTTGGTGTTTCACAATTTGATGTTTGATAATTTGATGTTTCACAATTTGACGGTTTCACAATTTGATGTTTCACAATTTGGTGTTTCACAATTTGATGTTTGATAATTTGATGTTTCACAATTTGATGTTTCACAATTTGATGTTTCACAATTTGACGGTTTCACAATTTGATGTTTCACAATTTGATGTTTCACAATTTGGTGTTTTACAATTTGATGTTTGATAATTTGATGTTTCACAATTTGATGTTTCACAATTTGATGTTTCACAATTTGATGTTTTACAATTTGATGTTTCACAATTTGATAATGTACACAATTTGGTGTTTCACAATTTAATTTTAGTAAACAAAAGTTAGTGGGCGTGGGTTTTTGCTAATTTGCAACTCAACAAAGATTTTTTTTCTCTGTTGACAGGAAGAACATACCATATAGATATTAACACACCATGCTCTGAAGTGTAATTATTTTTTCAGAATGGCATCATCAAACTTTCATTTAAAAACTTTGAATTGAAAATTGTGTCTTTGAAGTAGGTTTACGCAAATTTGAATTGCCGCCAGAGATGCGCAGTAAAAACTACATGCACCTATAATTAAGGCTCATTGACAAGTTTTCGCTGAAGTGCAAGGGTGGGTTGACTACAAAATATTTGTAGTTGGCTATAACTACAGCTACTTCAAAAATATGTAGTCAGCTACAACTACTGCTACTTTTGAACAAAGGTAATTCGCTACTGACTACAGCTACTGCTTAAAAAATGTAGAGAACTGTTTCGCTATTTCGCTATTTCGCTACACTATATTTTTTAGTTTCACTGTATTTGGAACATCTACTAACTCAGGCTGCAATGTATAACCTATAACAACTCGACTTACGAGTAGCAACAGTAAACACAAAGCAACATTTTTGTAAGCACTACGTACACTCTTCAGGAGTACAAATAATTGACTATTGAGGATTGATTTAAGCAAACCGTGTCTGAATATCATGCTATTCTATCAAGTTGCTAACAATTTTAAAAAGTAGCGAATAGCGATTCGCTGTTTGAAAAGTAGTCAACTACTTGGCTACTTTTAGGCAAAATGTAGTTCGCTATAATTACAGCTACTGTTTTAAAAAAGTAGTCAAATACTACTGGCTACTCGTAAATTGTAGTTCGCTACAGTAGCGAACTACAACTACTTCGCTACTACCCACCCTTGCTGAAGTGAGACCTCTGTATGTAATTATACTCTCATTACTCTGTGCTTTGACCAAAGCATACTTTAATTGATCACTGCGAACGAGGCTTAGCTCACAATCTATAGCAAAATATATATAATCACTCAAATATACTTTGGGATTCATTGACCTTGTCGTTGTTACAAATATTTACTCAGCAGCTATAATTTCCTACAGGAAGACGTGCAGGATATACGTACTCTCTTGAGAATCATTCACAACACAACAAAAATTCCTTTTACTCCGTTTATTGTTTTCATAATACATGAAAAATCGTTGTTCTTAGCCGTGCTTGAGCGTCTTGTCTATTAACGCTGGGTTGTTTCAGTATAACAGTTCAGTATGTTTGTTGTGACAGCCATTCTAAATTCAACAGTGGGTTTATTAGTGAATAAAGCTCGTGATTTGACGGCGGATAAACTGAGGGACGGCGATATTTCAGATGAAAAACTTCGAAGTCTCGTCATACGTGAGCTGCATGATAACTCAAAGAAACTTGATGCTCTTTTACAAAAGGATCTGCACAGCAGCTACGAGTGCCTACAGCAAGGAATAGATTACCTGAATGCGGCTTTTTGTAACCTCAAGCAGAACAAGACTCAAAACGACGTCGACGGAGATAAAACATCAACAGTGCCGAGTGGAATATTGAACAAAGCCTTAGAACTATCTAAAGTTATGGAAAATCTAAAAGTTAAATCAAATAATGATGTTGAAATTGCTAAAAAACGATTTGAAGAAGCCCGTAAGAAAGCAACTGATGCTTTCTCTAATAAAGGATTAGATATCAAGGATAAAATCTTCGCTACGAAGCTACTCATAGTTTCTCTAATACTGGAACATCTGGATCATCCTTCAACCGCTATCACAGGGTGTGTGCCAGTTTTGAAAAGATTCCATGAATCATCTGCCATTGAAGACATGTTCACCGCGTACCTCGAAAAAAGCAGTGTCTTCGTTAAATGGCATGAAGAAGAACGAGCCGAGAACGTCAAGTCTACAATGCAAATTAACTATGTGTTATTTCAATATGTTTCGAATTTCAGTGGGCCTTATTCTGCGCAGACCTGGCCAACCATTAAACTCTCTGACCGTACTTTTCATCCAATAATAAATTGGCTAGAAATTTCTACAAAAGAGTCTATGGGCGATGCATTGATGCGCCCTCCCAACGAACTGATACTTCGTGATTATGAAGAAATAATTACGACTTACCTCTCTCTAAACAGTCATGCGGACGTTATTGTCGCGAAAAACGATTCTGGCGGCATCAAGGTTCTGTTCAGAACAGGCGGAAGCAAGTTGGTTAAATTATCTGATCGCAACATTGCAGGACTTGCTGTTAATAAGAACAACAATGTTTATGTGGTGAAATGGAATGAGCTCGAGCGACGTTACATGTTGAATGTATTGGATGGAGTGGATTACAAACCAACACGCGACTGTGGGATGTTGGATTTTCTCGGGAAAACAGAAATTAATCTGATGAATATTGCTATAAACAATAAAAATAATATCATCATGATCAAAAACAATGATCCCCACGTGTATATCTGTAGCAACAGTGGAAAATTGCAATGGAAGTTTAAACGAGATTCACGTCGGGTACACAGATTCGGTATTTCCAAGAAGGACGAAATCATGATATCATCGGGCGATGAGAAGGCAGTGAACATATACTCTGAGGGAGGAATTCTGAATTCGACAATAGAACTACCGGAAGATCATAAGGTTTGTGGGGTGGCATTTCATTATGGGACAAGTAAAATAATCGTCTTGACCTATGTCGAGAACAAAGATTCCTATTTCCTTCTCTACCACACTGAAGCAGGTGAACTGGAGACAGAAACGTTATTTTGTAACAACTGGAGTGAATTTCCCCAAATTACGTCCCACCCAAGTGGATCTGTTGCTGTTGTAAGGTGGAGAGGAAGAATAACTTTTATTTAAGGGGATTTTCTATGCCAGTCAGTATGTACAAAAATTTCCTTTTCAAACCTGCTTAGTATTATATATCTTTACTATAATTACATAGGTGATTATTGAAAATTCTCCACGCTGATTGGTTGCCGATGAGGTGATTATTACGCGATAATCACCTAAGCGATTTTCAAAATGGCGGCCGGAGCCTTTTGTCAATTAAATGACGAAGAAATGTGTATTTTCTTATTTTTCCCAAATAATCACCTATGAAATTATACTAAAACAATTATTCACCTCAGGCTCGGTGATTATCGTGAATAAAAACCTCGACTTCGTCTCGGTTTTTATTCACCGATAATCACCTCGCCTTCGGCGAATAATTGTTAAATAGTCTTAAATTAAACAGTATATATACTGTATATGTTAACTATAGTAGGGCCTAAATGTCAATTGTAAATTACTCAAATTTGTGAACGTTTGCTACGTAAACGTTATAAAATGTTCATAGATAAGCAACCAAACATGCAGGGACGTAGCGACGGGGGTGGGGGTGTAGGTGTAGGGGGTTTAACACCCCCTCCCCTCCGATATGTGACCATAATGACTGATTTCAGGTAAATTTCTAGGTAATTTGAGCCGATTTTCAGGTACATTATACTGAACAGCATTGACAGGCAAACGTGCATGGAAGCTAAAAGGAAAAGTAAGCTAAGAATGCCAAATTTTAGTTGGATTTCCGGGCTTTCCGAGTCTATAAAACCGTCAAAATTTAGCTCCGTATCCTTACATTCTTTCAAAAGAAATTTTTGTTGCAAGTTACACGGCGATTTTGTTGCTCGTATATTAATCCATTTTAAAGGCTTGAGCATAAATAGAGTCGACTTTAAAGCTAAGTGCATATAGAGATATAAGTATTATGGTGTGATTTTTTTATTTCAATTATAGTTTTAGAACTATCTTGCTCAATACTTTCATTTATATCATGTTTCAAATCTGCGCACCTTGAAACGTACTTGAAACGGTACAAAACTTGCAATCATGCTTAAATTATGGTGTTCTTCCGTTAAAATGACATTTTCGTACATTTCCGAATACTTCGATTTTTTACGAAAGTACTTGTTAAAATTTCCAAGCCACCTGAACCGAAAAATCCCAAGAAAAAGATAAGCAGGACAGTCACTTTAGCCGTGTTTACACTACGAGCCTAAGCCTGTCCTAGGCTTAGCTTTGGACTAGATTTTTGTAGTGTAAACGCACTTTGGCCTGTTCTAGGCTAGGAAATCTAGCCACCTGTTCTGATGGGTCCAGATTTCCTGGCCTAGGCCAGGCTGAAGTGCGTTTACACTACAAAAATCTAGTCCAAAGCTAGGCCTAGGCCAGGCTTAGGCTTGTAGTGTAAACACGGCTTTTGTGCAGCTGCAAATGTGATAGAACAATTAGAGGCGTCAATTCGTTTTCAAGTTTTATATAAATCTCTTTCTTTTCTTTTACAAACTCAATAACACAACAACCTTTTTACACACGAGGTGCGCAGTTGGCCACCGCGCACGCAAGCACAGGTAACCCAACTCTCACACAACAACAAATCTAATGGCTAATACACGTCATTGTTTATTAATTTATTGAGT